TTGATTTTAGCCAAAATATGGTATTCATTAAAATTGTTTACTGATTCCTGCGGTAATCAACCGTGTTGCTTGTAGGTTTATTCGAGATTCAAAATAAAACATTTTAAGTTTGAGAAAATTTCCAGGAAGGAATAAAAATTTAAATTTAAATTGAAACTAAGTGTGTTGCAACGTTTGCACAAAACGTTTTTTTAGGGGGCGAGACACGTTTTGTTTTCAAGCGTTGGAATGGTTGCAAAGTGCTAAATCGACAAAAACGTCAAGAAAGCCCCTGAAGTGTATGGTTATTGATGTCAAAAGATATTAATAATTTCACCTTAGGTCAAATTTGTGCTTTTTTGAGGGTTCATGGATGATCCGAGCCAAATTGATGTAGACAGGTTTTGGGCGGTGGACAAAGTTGTATTCACTTAGCAATAAGGTATTAAAATCCTCAAAGGATCTAAGTTGAGCACACACGCGGATAAGTTTGGATTACGGAAGCAAGTGAGAAATTATAGAAAGCCAGAAATTGAGTTTAGAAGAATTTATCCACACTGGGGTAAAAAAATTCCATCTGGCAACAAGAATTTAACATAAAGCATCTCTTTTAAAATAGCACTCTGCGTTTAACCGAGACAACATTTCAGCTTCTAAAATATTAGAAAAAACGGAAGTTTTGTGACAATACAAACTCATACATGGCTTCTGCACAGTAGTGCACCATGGTTTCTACAAATCTCATCATATGTGGGAATTAAGTCAACAAATATTTTCTTGATTTTTTATACATTTTTATCTAACTTTATACGCTCCGACAATATCCAAGTGCATGTTATACTGTGTTGCACAAAAACCAGCAAAGTTGGCCTTACTTGTAATTTTCTCTAGCCAAACACAGCTATTCAAGGCATCGCGTTAACTGCATATGCAATTTTTTGGGCATCCCGTCTGTACTAAATATCACTAAGCTAACTACTGATAACAAACTATGATAAAATGGAGTGCAATCGGCGACGCACGAAAGCCTTTTGGCTGAGAATAGTTGGTGGTTGAGTATAAATGCCCGACAAAATATATTCCAACACCCTTCCCTGAATGATGAGTTCATCTAATTTATTTTGTTTTCTATAACGATTTACAGAATATATATGTTACACTGAGTTGAAGTAAAACCTTTGTTGGAAGTAATCTCATGTAGGATTTCCAAAAACCTTTCTATAATGCTATTCTATTATTTCATACGCTATCATCACCACGGCTCGAATGACGGAATACACACAAATTAAGTGCAATATCTAGAAATCTCTTGTGCCAAAAAGAATGCAGCTCTTTCTATGTGTTTGTGAAGCACAAAAAACTGTTTAGTTTTGAATGTTTTCAATGAAATGAACGACATTTCGGCGAGGGGTGAGTAGTTCATTTGTCTTGTGATAGTGACATTAACCAAGTCTCTCCTGAAGTTTCCTATGGCAACGGTAACTTGCATTTTATTCAGTATGCATCACCTTTAATTTAAAAAAGTGTAGGCTGTGAAATCTCGTGCAACTGTGTAGAAATTGCACGGTCTGGTGCTTCACGTAGTGGAAACGGGCGCTATTGACGGGACCCAAACGTACGTTTTCCGGGCGCATTTATAGTGCGTGCCAGTTTCAAACGACAACGTAAATAACTTCCGCCAATGCTTGCTAGAACAATGCAGATTGATAGTAGAGTCGGTAATTTTTTATGCAGGGAATATATTTTCACCCTCATCCTTCTTACGAATTGAAGCTCTGAGGACTCGACTGAACGGCGTTTGTGCACTGATAGTATTACCGGTTATTTGTTTAGAAACAACTGATTATGCCAGGTAATTTAGTCTGTTGATTATACAGTGCGCCTGACTGTTTTATCGCTTCTGAGTGGGTGTGTTGTTTTACGAGCGGACGCATTAATATGAAGCAAAAAATATTGAGGGAGACTTGAGCCGAACGATGCAAGGTAGCAGGTTAACAGAGATGTTTCCGAGGCTCTCTTCTATGTTGAATGGATGTTTCGCAGCCATGAACTAGTGAACTGATAAGATTGAAAAGGTAAATAAGACTAGAGGTTCTTCTTTGGTAACAGTATTAAACTTTTGAATTTATAACCAACCTTGCCGTAATCAATCCAAGTTATGTGCATTGGCTATGATTTCTGATACAATGGGGGCGAAATTAGGAACCTCCAACAATGTGTTGTAAGTGATATTTTCTCATCAGAACATAAGTTTTAAAACCAATATGGATTTGTTACCACTGAAGCAGGAGTAGATACATTGTTAATAATCTAGACTGTCTAGATCTGGAGAACAACAAAGCTTTTTGCTCTATCAAGTGTCCAAAAATTCGAGTTTGGTTTTCTTTCTATTGCTACACTTGCTTTTCCCTTTTGTTATTGTTCAAGAACATTTCGGCAGTTCAGAGATTGCTCAATTGTCTCTCCTTGTTTTATACGGGCGCTTTTAGCCAGTTCGTTTTAAAGCGATTTCAAGGTAGGGGAAATTTCGGGTGATTTTCAGTCTATTCACTTACGTCGCAATAAGCCCGCGGATCACATAAAACAATCAGATTAGTTGCATGACTGAAGCGTACAGCGTTCTCCCCTCATTGGCGAATAAACCTCAGAATGTTTCCAATTCAATAAAGCTGTCCGGGCATTTCGTACGTGTGCTGTACTTAAGCTGGACAGTTGATTATACCTACTGAATTTTCATCCTCATGAAAGCTTTCCTTCAATAAATTAAACTGACTTTGTCTGAAATTTAATGCTGTCCCGAAATTTTTTCAGTTTGCCAAAACACATAGTGTCAGCGTCACACTCAAGAAGGACATGACTGAGGCGAAACAGCAGTCAGCGAACAAAATCTGTCGAACTAATGTTCGGCTATTTTATGTTTAACTGACTGGAAGCTTGTCATTTATGTTAAACAGTGATTTTAGATCAAAGTTTTTTTACTACCGTCCATACGCCAATCACTATGTTGGAACTGCGCAAGATAAATATGACGAAGTCAAACAGCTGGTTGATAAGTATCTTTTGGGGAATATTGGATATTCCCGGGTTCAGCGCTGTAACGGTTGAAAACTCATTTTAACTCCAAAATCTGCCAGCCTTCTACAAACTTCTGGGGTTTTGCGAATTTGTTTATCATTGAAACGATGGGTTTTTAATACACCGGTAAACTGGGGTCGATCTAGCTGGAATTTCATTTTGTTAGTGGAGCCAATCTCTAGAAGCCGCGAGACAATGCACAAGTGTCCCTTTCTTATCGGAAACTATCAGTGGTGTGGGACGTACTAAAATCTAGACAGTTTTGACATCCTGACCAGTGGTTCAACCACTCGCCAATGAGCAGCTGATCAGCAACGTGATCGGCCATCGATTAGTCATTCTTCTGCTACAGGAATCAAATCACGTGGTTTCAGCCACTCACAGGCTGCTTGAGTGATGACTACTCATATGGAAGTTTCACTAAGCTCGTCAAGGTGGAAACCTTGGAAACCACTTTATGAATAATAAAGTGTTCAGTAAGCCTCAACAGCTTGAGTTAGTTTTTTATGATTCCCAATAAAATTAACAAAATTGGTTTCGAAAAAAATGTGTCGTCACGTGTCCAGTTGTTGACGGCCGCAAGTTGGTTGAAATCATGCACAGTAAAATTCTGTTTAGTTTTTATGGAATTTTCAGCTGAAACGCATTGTGTTGGCGTTTAGGAAACGCAGAAGAGGCAGAATTGCTAACATTCGCCCGCTCTATTCTAGCATTATGTACGTCAATTTGGGTATTTTATGCTTATGACAGACGATGGACTTGCTATGAAGACACCAACCTCGCTAACAACAGCTGAATTAAAATTCACTGAGAATGACACCACTGGTTTGACAGTGCTTTGTGAACTCATTGCACAAACCTCTCCAAATAGAGTAAAAAATCACAGCCCACAAGGACAGAATTCCCCTGGGTTTTACGGAAAAGTGCATGTAAGAAAGCGTGCACTGATGGCATGTTATTATGCGACTGTGGAGGAAACTGAGTTTTTGAATTTATGAAGTCCGTATAATTATCTCAGACTCGAGGGCGGATTTTCGAATCTTGCTTGTGTAAATTTTGATGCCATGAGTGAAGGCGGAGTAGGTAGCGGTCACTTCGGGTAGACAGCTGCCAAGAAAGCCGTTTGAAATAACGATGGCTTATGCAACCGCGACTCAATCAACACATATGCTTATTATCGGAGATATTTCTAAGCACCTCTTTGAACCCTTCATTGCTATTTTACTAATAAAAAATAGATCATATAGCTTTGTCTTTAGTGGCATAAATTTGTCATGGTTCAGTTGAGCGGAAAATTCATTTTAGTGACGAATGGCGACCATTTTTGTTTAATCGGAACTTAGTTTGCTAAAGTTAGGATTAAGGTTATTCCATCGCGAGCTGTAACAATCATGAAACAACTTACCTCATGAGCGAGCTCTGCAACTAAGAGATTGACTGAATGTATTCAAGCGTACTCCTCATTAATATTGTCATCATAAACAATGAATACTCAGTCCGGTTACAAACGGGTTTTGTTGACAACAATGTGTCCTAGAAGAAATCCCTTCAGAGAAAATCTGTCATCATCCGTCATCATCAACACTTTCGGTGTAATTTTCTTAGTTCTAAGCGGTTAAACGATTTTTGTCAAAGAACGCCTCATTGGTTGGTCTTGAGAAAGAACTAGAGAGTTAGTGCGAAAGAGCTTAGTTCCTAGGAGAAAACAGCTGTGCACACCACTTCCGTCTAACGTAATATATATAGAATTGGTGAAAACTCTTGGTTGGTTTACCACCTGTTTCTCCCTTCTCGAAGCCTAACCAGTGTGTGAAACTTCTGATTTTCAGCTAACCATACGTTGCAAGCAAACATTAAAGCTTCGCAGTTGCCCCCTCAGGTTTCTTCTGGCTAAACATTTGAATGATCAAGGTGCACCGTAGGGACAAAATACCTTACCTATAAAGTCAGCGATGAGTAACGCCGTTTGGCTGTAACATCCTTCCTGTGCCTAGCTGCCATGCCACCCGAAGGAAGCACGGGAACTGGGATACTGTCAAAATGCCCAAGTCTAGACAGGGGAAGTCGAGTGGTAGACGTCGAGTTCGAACCACGGAAATTTCGCTCGGTAAAATCGCGCGCTCATCACTCGCCCTAGATGAGTAACGCATCTAAAACTGGCTATTCTACCAAGTGAACCACGAGGCGATGTTACCAAAACACAGTAGCACCGTAGATATTATAAACGTGGATTTGGTTACGTCCCTCATTTGCAATAGCCTTCTTCATGTGGATGGATTACACTCACGTTCTTGAACATCGATGTAAGAACAGCCTCGATTCAGATTGATGTGAGATTTCTTTGTTGAAATTCAGTTCGCACACTCAAAACGTCCATTCGAAACCAGTCCTTTGCGCACCAAGACAGATATCTCAAGTGGTTAGATCGCAAATGTACTGACCGAAAGTTTCATGGTTAGAACCCGACCTCTGCTGCTCAACTTTGGCAACTTGGCAGTATCCCAGCCCTCATGCTTCCCTCGAGTGACATGGCAGTTTGGGTGGGAAGGGTGCTACAGCTAAACAGGTACCAAGACAAACAATTTAAAAATATATTCCGACGATGAACTGCTTGTAAATTCGTTTAGTTTTCCAGTTTTTTAAATCAGCATAATCAGGAACAACAAGGTGAGAATTCGAAAAATTCTCATTTCCTCCACAGGCATTTTGGTTTACTGAATTTACGTCACGATGTGTACGCTGAAGGTTTTTACCGGAATAATTTAAACAAATTTCTTCTAAAAACCAAGGATGGTGGCACGTAACTGCAAATAAATTGAGTTTACTGATACATGTGGGAGGGATACAAACAAGGAGAGAGTTCATGGCCTAGCAATTCCATCAAAGGTGCAAGCATTCAACAGAGAACAAAAAGGGCTTATTTTGTAGGAATTCACAGTCTCGATTAACGAGTAGTCGTTGATTTTTATGTGCGATGCATGATCACCACAAATCAAAATCTTTTCTGTAGAAGAACGTGATAAGTTTAAAAAGAACATGCAGTTAAGATATTAAAAATATAACGTGCACACGTATGCTGCAAGTCGAACAATTCATGCATAAAAGTAGTTCACAGACTGAGACAAACGCTTTTGTCCTATTTCTGTTCCCATTGTTCTCCATCATCCTAAACAACTTCAATTCTGGCATTCTAACAGATCTTCTATATTTGGAGTGATGTCTTACAGATTATCGATTAACCATTATCGATCAATCCGAGTTGTATTAACGTTAGAACTTTTTTCAAGAGGGTTACCCTAGTAACGGATCGTATAGTCCCTAATTCATCTTCACTGGAAACCAATCGGCAATTTACTGTGACCCATTTCTGCGTGGGTTGTTTTCCTGTGTCATCAAAATTGTAGTCTTGGTTTTGCACTTTTACCCTGAAAAAATTACAAAACTGCCTTCAATCACCTGATGTTTAAGCCGCAGGTGTTCAGCCCACCAAAGCGACCGACGATTATCAGTACCATCTGGCCTCTATCCATGGGTCAATAAAACTCAGATTATGACACACTCCTGCCTCTAGTGATACGGAGCAAATCGCTGCAGCGTAACGTTGTGCTAAGATGGTCCTTGGAACCCCATACACCACCAGAATATATTGTGGATCAATAAACTGGCTTGTGAAATCTTTAAACTCTTGTTTTTGCGGTAATTTAAACATGCATCAAGTGGCTGATGACGGCTTTCTGGGTGATTTTCAAATCACTAACGGTCGCTAAGTCAGCCAGTCAAAGACCACGCTACTAATTGGGTTTCAGGCAGTGCGACAAATCCCCACCCACCGGTTCAAGTTCAAAATAATTATTTATTAACGCAGTGTTTAAATAACCTTAGTAATTATGCTTGAAAACATGGTAAACGAGAGATCCAGCTGGGGGAATCTCCTGAGAAATCAAATTTGTTTGCAAATGAAACGTTTGTCACCCCATTGGTGATCTGGACTAATTCTTCTGTGATAGGTAGTCAATATCTTCTCTCACTCGATTTCTTTTCCATTTACACCATACTCATTCAAATATGTTAAATACCGTTCTCTTAAACTTTGCAATTGTATGACTTGAAAAGACCTTGTCGAAAACATGTTCGTAAACCCATCTGTGTATTTATTGTAAATGGGAATTTTCGAGAGAAAAAACGTTTGTTTTTTGTCTGTAATGCTTATCTTTTCCATGTTAGGCACGTGTAGTCTGACCAGCTTCGAGGGCTAACCACTGAATGTCCAATGGGATGATACCGGAAACATCAAGTCCCCTGATTCCGGCGTTAAGAACAAATTACATTCTGAGATTGCAATCAATGCATGGACTACGAGGTTTGCCTTTGAACGCCATGCTAAAATAACCTTGCTGGATTAAGGTTTTCCATTAACCAAGGACCATATGTTAATTTGGTTTCTTCTGACTAAATACATCTTATGCCTCTCAGGTCCTTCAACATAGAATTTTACACACTCGTTCGGCTGTCGCCTGACTGCTATGCTACCAGATGGATGCACTAGAACTGGGATACTGCCAGGTTGCTCAAGCCTAGACAAGAGAAATCGACAGGTAGAGGTCGAGTTCGAACCACAGACCTTCAGTAAATTTGCAATCTAACTATTGCGCCGTCTCAACTCGATTTTACAAAATAGTGTGCAAAAACTCCTTTCCACAGGAAAATCATTTTTGTTTAAAATGTCTTTTTTTTCAAAAATTTTATCAAACTGAGCCTGGAAAAGAGCAGCAGTGAACGTCCCTTAACCCCTTTAATTAGACATTTTCTAGGAATACCAGAGGTAGTCGAATGGACCCTAATCAGAATAGCGAGTGGTCAAATATAAACTACCGAATAGTTTGGTCTTTTCTTATTCGTACCAACAGTAGACTGAATATGATGATAACAACTCAACGAAGCATTTCAGTCTGGTTGAAACTCCATTTGATGCACAACAAGCGGCCAGAATCTCAGAACTTTGTTTAGTTGAACCATCTTTTTACATTTGAGCTGAATCCATAACCTTTTCATTCACCCGAAGTTTATGTTCAAAGTATTCTGCATAGGGCCGCTGACGATAGTTAACAAGCACTTCATAGTTAGCCAGATGTACGAAGATTTGTCTGGAATTAAGCGTGCTGGTTGTACGTAAACCGCAAAACACGATATACAATCAAAGTAAAAGAAATCCTCACATTCACATTTTATGATAGATGCGGAAAAAATAAACAGCTGGCTTAGCTTTTTCGAATCATCTCAATCGACGTGCAGGTGTTTTCCAGCCATCACAAGCGGGGTCTCATTAAACTGCCTCTTCCATAGTGCAAAAACTTGTTAGGTATATATTTCTTATACAATACTGATAACGTTGTTGAAAATTCTTCGATACTTCACAACCGGTTTCGCCCTTCTTGGAGCTCATCAGGTAGGTGCAGTCCCCGAGTTTCCGTCAACCTTATGTTCTACTTGAAACAACTTGCACAAAACTAGCGGAATACACTCATCTGCAAACTAATTTGGTTTTTCGAGGGACTCACCTGGAACCCAGCTGAATCTCTCGTTTGCGATGTTTTCAGGCAACTGAATGTGCTNTTTTTTTGTTTTGGCGGGGGCCCCACCTGGACCCAAGCTGAATCTCTCATTTGTGATGTTTCCAGGAGACTCGGGGACTGCGCCCACCTGCTGAGCTCCGGTTGTAGGCTATCGACGAATGTTCAGCAACCCTATGAGTAATGGATTACAAATATATATGTATTGCGATACCTCGAATATCGTAGCAACTGAAACATGAGGTGGTGTTAGATATATCTAGNACAGAACACTCAGAATGACTCGGCGCGCTGACTCACGTATTTTAGTTAGCAGAAGCGTAGACAACAGCAGGTATGTCCAAGCATATAAGTGTATATATGTATTCATACGCCTCAGATTACGTTTTGTAATATAATACGGAAGTTTCTCCAGTAAAATACAATAATGGGCACACGCAACTACTGAAAACTAATCTCTTATTCTTGTGATCAAATGGTGCGTTTCCAGATATTTCCGTGAAAATAACTACCTCACGCTTGCATCTGATACAACGTGAATCATGGATATTGTAGTTTTATTCCTCTACAAAGCATGTGAATTCGAGAACAGGAAATAAATCTAACAAAAATAACTGCTTCGAGATTTATTAAACAGTTGTGTGAATTAGCGTGATCATAACTTGCTTTACGTTACACTACTAAACCCGAATTTTGTAGGCTTTCGCAAAGTGCATGCTTTATTGTGTGCTCTGTTTCCAGCCCAATGCGAAGTTTTTCAAGTTACACGAAAAGTCAGTTGAATGTATTCCCACAACCTCTCTCCTTGTTTGTATCCATACAGTACACCGGAGCAGCAGCGTCACTGTTGGCTCTGACACTACTGGACACCCGGCGATTTCCAGCGGTAGTGAGACACCCAGAAAGCGGGCGATCATTCAAGATGAAGATGGTGTTTGGCTTCCTGGAGAACAAGATGACATTCCAGAACAGGTCTCATCGCACAGCCTAAAAGTGTCCATCGCAGATCGAACGGCTGGTGAGCGTGTGTCGTACAGGTTAATACAACAACGAAGCTTGGATGTAAGTCACTGAGGGTGTTTTTGGCAGAAATCTCTTGTGATGCTGGTAGTTGATTCGTCAGACCAGCTTGTCAGTTGAGGTAAAGACGTTGAGATGACTTGGACACAGGGCTGTAGGTAGAAGTGCATTAACGACGTGCATACAAGCCCAACAGTTGTTGAATCTCCTACCACAACGTCGCCAGACATCTGAATTATGTAATCTGATCGATAATTGGAAGTTTGTAGTAAAATAGCCCCCCGAAGGAAATCATGCTACAAGGAAATTTACTTATGGGCTACATGCGAGTTTGGGCGCTATATGCCCGATTTAAGCAAACCGGAAGCTCTTTTGAACTTGTAAACGTGGGTGTGAGACGTA